AGAATTTAAAGTGGCCTGATGATATAAAAGCAATATAAAATAACAAAGTTCTAAAAAATATGATATATATATATATATATATATACACACACACACCATACTTATTTTTTAAAAGTGTATACACACACACACGTATATGTATACAATACTTACTTTTTAAAAGTATATATATATCTATATAGATATATATACACACATGTATATATATATACACACCATATTTACTTTTTAAAAGTGTGTATATATATCTATATATTTATATATATGCACACGCATACATGCACACATGTATATATACACCATACTTACTTTTTCAAAGTGTATCCACACACGTGCACACACGCGTGCATCTTACACATATATAAGACACACTGGACTGAGGGAGCATCACTCCAAGAAGACAGGACTCTGGCATGTAGGAAATGATTCTGTCTTCTGAAGAGTAAGCCAAGACTCAGTTTGTGATTGAATCTAATTTTAAAGTGTTTGGTTAATGAATTTGGCCTAAATTTTGATATCTTAAAAAAAAGTTCCTTTATGTTTTATATTTTACAATAGCAGTCATCATCATCACCATCATAGTTCCTTAGTCAAAAATGCCTTAAACGAATAGTGATTTCTTAAAGGCGAGTTCTCCAAAACACAGAGATCCCTAAAGGCTTTAAGGGGTCCCATGGAAAGGGTGGGTGGCTGAAAGGGTGATGATTTGTTCTGGGAAAGCGGCATTACCATGCCTCAATGGTGAGAGAGGAAATGTCAGTATCTGGAATTAACATAGGTCAGCATTTCAGTCGGGGGCCATCTGCACATGCCAGAATCATCAGCTGGAGGCTGCCTAGACGATTTGGAGAGGGAGCAGACTTTGCCAAGCAGCCGTGTGATCACATGGTTAATTCAGAAAGTGGTAAATAAAATTGCCTGTCAGAGCCAAATAACAAAAACAGAAGGAACACCACGTATAAATTATTAGATTTGTGTTTCTGTAAAATGTATTTTGAAAATTAAAATGTTTTTCTTCTTACCACCTAGTCCCCTTCCTCCACATTAGTTTTTTTCCCCCCTAGAATACAGTTTGATGTTCTCTGCAACCTGTTCTTCTAATTGCAATTAAACCCTGGGGAAGTTATCTTTTCAAATGCCAGAAAATAAGTTAGTGCCCAAGGGAACCACAAAGCTGGAAATGTGATGTGAGTAATCACCAGACTGGGTTTTTTTCCCTCCAGAACAAAGAGCGGACTGGGAAGATGGGATCACCCATAAGACTCAGACAGGAAACCCTGGTGTTCATTTTCCCGAGAAAATAATTGTTCTGTATTCTTTGGATCATCTGACAAACTGCTTTCTGGTGTATTGATTTGCTACCACACTGAAAAAGTAATAAATCAATAATCAGCTTTGTTTAGAAAGCAGGGAAAAGTAGTGTTAACTGGAGGAACCACATAAGGCTTTAGAAAAGGGATTAAGCTCTTGAAAGAAAAAGAAATAATGCATGTGGGAGGACCTTCAAGGACCTGAAGAGAAAGCCAAATGATAGTAATTGGAGAGAAACTTACATATGATTAGTTCCACTCCAGCCCCATTTTGCATAGGCTTACACACATGGCAATATGCTAAGTTTGGTGGCTAAGTTTGGTGGTTCTATGTGAGTAGTGGTCAATGAACCAGATAAGGTGGGCAAACACAGATACCTGGGTGGGTATGTTAGCATTACAGGACACATCATGGCATAAAGGAGGAAGTAATGCTGGCATTAGAGGAACATGGTTCTGAATATCAGCTCTGCCACATAGATGAACTTAGCAGAGCAAGTCACCTAAACTCCCTGAGCCTCAGTTTCCTTATTGGTAAAACTGAAAAAAGGGAGCCAGTGATTGGCCTAGAGGCTAAGGTGGCTGGATCCCATATGGCTGACAACACAGTTCAAGTCCTAGACCCAGCAGCTTGAAAAAAACAGGCAGAGTGTGAATGTGTGCATGAGCAAAGTCCTGAGAAGAGAATGGAGGAGAAGAGATTTCGACAGAGTCACCCTCCCTGGGGAATTATTTTTCACTTTTCTTCTCTATTTCTCTTTTTGTCGCTCTCCGGTGAGTACACACACCCTATACCAAAACAAAACCAAAACAGAACCAAAAACTGAAATAAAATTTCCCCTAATGCTCTTATGAAGATGACATAATGTCTCAAAAATGACTAGTATATAGTAGCTGATAAATAGTAGCTATTGCTAAATGAAAGGACTTTTAGAGCCATGGACACTAGATTAGGAAGGAAGAATACCAAGAAGCTGGTTTAGAATATTTTTTAGGTTGAAAGACCAGGTTCTAAATGACAAGAGAAACCCTAAGAAAAGCATATGATAACTTGCAAGAGCTATTGAAGGGAGTTTGGCGCTAAGTCACTGAAGAGACATCAATGATTTATTTGAGGAAAATGGTATCCAATTTATCATTAAAAAGCTATTTGACATTTGTGGAAAATGGGGGAAAAGTCAGGTCAAAATATAAAACTGTGGAAAATACTACCTGGATGAAATGGAAATCTTGGTGGGATGGGTTAGTGTGACATGACTGGTTGTGATATAATTGGAGAAAGAGGTAACAAATGGTGTGTGTAGGATGAAGTGCGAGGTCGCATATGAGTCTCTGTGTGGAAAACATCATTAGAAATGACACCAAAATGTTTTCTAAGCAAGTATTTTCTCTGAAGTCTCTGTTAGCATAAATTCCAAAATTATTTTAAAAATTAAAAATAATAAAAATAGGGAGAGAAGGGGGCTGGCAGATGGCTTGGTGGTTAAGGGCACTGGACTCCCACATGGCTGAACGAGGTTCGAGTCCTGAACCTGGCGGCTGGCTTCGTCACTTTCCTTCTCTCTCCCTCACTCCGTCTCTCTCTGGTCAAATTAAAATAAATAAATAAATAAATAAAGTTAAATAAAAATAATTTTTTATGAAAGAATAGGGGAAAAATGCATGTCCAGAGTACTGAAAATCATTTTCTTATTGAAATTGGGGAAGCTGAAAAGTTAGGTCAGGTAAGAAATTACAAGCTCAATGATTCAATGACCTTACTTGTTAGTTGTCAGGCTGTTCATTCTGGTTAAAATGTAGAAATGAGGTTTTAAGATGAAGCAAATGGTGATTCTAATAAAACAGAATAATCTCCAATGTCATAGTGTTTGTGTCATAAATACAAACTGGTTTAGTCTGGTATTTATGAGTGATCCTAAGTAATTATAGCACAATTAACTCTAACATTTTAGCAAGTGGAGTAAAGCCGAATACTCTGATTTTGATAACATTCAAGAACTGATCAGGAGTGAGCAGGTGTCATGGTGGTCAATGTGCTAAACTCCCACATGGGCGACTGTGGTTTGAGTCCCAGACCTACGGCTTGAAAATCATGCTGGCTACTTGTACATGGGTGCCCAAAATCCCAGAAGGAGAAGGGAGAAGCTTTGGCCATGCCACCTAGGAAGTGATTTCTCACTTTCCTTCTCACTGTCTCTTTCTGGTAAAGAGACCGTATGGCAAAACCCTTAAATATTAATTAATATTTTTTCTTAAAAAAAAGAACTGATAGGGCCAGCTAGTGGCATAGCAGTTAAGGGTGCTGGACTCCACCACGGTTTGAGTCCCAGACCTAGCGGCTTGCTTTCTTGCTTTCTCTCTCTTTCTCTCTCTTTCTCTGTCCCTCTCTGTCCAGTTAAAATAAGTAAATAAATAAGCAAAGTTAAATTTTTTAAAAAAAGAACTGATCGGGAAAGCTTGGTTGAACCAGATTTTGAAATAACTTTCAAAAGTCTAAAGGCTGACTAAAAATATTAATGCAAACACATGAAACATGTTTGCCACAGAAAAGTCAAAATGAAGATAGTAGGAATAAATAAATAAATTAATAAATTAAATGACTAAATAATTCTAGAAGCACATTGCAAAGTTTTTAAAATTAATAATAACTAGATTATTTAAAAATACATGGAATCAGCAAGGTATATAGATATGGAAAAGTTACATGTGTGGATTTAAAAGAAATAATGTAGATCCAGTGAACTAATTTATTCTTGTTTTCCTTCCTGAGTAGAAATGTGAGCAGCACATAAAACAAAAAGAAATTAATTCAGAAAAAAAGGAATTAATTCAGAAAAGACAGGTTTTTCTCCCTTTTGCTCACTTTTTATTACCCAAGAAATTTTAAAGCACTCCAAATATTTAATGAAACCCAGTTTAAAGGAAAATGTCTTGGAAAAAGTCTCCAATTTTTTTTTTTTTTTTTTTTTTTTTTTTAATTTTTTTTTTTTTAAAACGTAT